CTATATATATATATATATATATATATATATATATATATATATATATTAGATCTACAATCTAACAATCTGAATATTCATAAACGTCACGAGACTTCTCAATAATCACAAAATTGTCACCGTGTAACTTTAGACCATTAGATCATTAGCTTATAAAGTTGATCAATAAACATAAATTGATCTTACGGGTCTCACGAAACCCTTGGTATCACATGATCCCAAGTGTATATATATATATATATATATATATATATATAGAGAGAGAGAGAGAGAGAGAGAGAGAGTTTTGTTCATACAGGAACAAGTACGTAAGAAAATAAAAAATGATCAAATCACATGTGATTTTACACTAAAATCACATGTAAAATCAAATGTGATACACACGACTTAATTTGGTCGTGGGGCACGTTGCCTTCACACTTTTAGGTTGACCGTTATTGTAAACTGACAAGTGATTTGCACGTGATTTGATCGTTTTCGTATTTTTTATTTAGTTATTGTTATCTTTTGAACCTTACAATAATTAAATAGGAACAACAAAAATGTACAAACCCTTTGAAAACCGAAGTAAATATATTTTTTACGTGATCTTTTTCATCAAAAACTATAATTGGATATCCAATTTAAATGCAAAATTCATTCATTCTAATTTAAACCTACAGACCGTAATCAGATATCCATTGGATAGGATCTGATCCGAAATTTCAACATCCAAATTGGATTAGTCAGTTAATGGAGGCAATCTAGCATCCAATAAAACCAAACAGATCCAATCCTATAACCATCCAATTATCATCAATTACCATCCAATTAATAACTATATATAATTATTAACATTTTATGATATGTATTGTTTTTAATAACTTTAGAAAATATATGAATAATGGTTGAAAATTGGATCATTATTATATTGGATGAATCCAATTTAATCCAATGGATAACCAATAGTAATATCCAATTGATGTAACCGATCCGATTCAATCATCAATTGGATTGGACCGGATTATATCGAATATCCAATGTTAGTTCAATTGGATAGGGATGACAAAATCCAACATCCAATGGATGATTGGATTGGATCCACCTAAATCTATTGGATTTCAACCGATAAACACTCCTGAACTTTCACATGTGTTTGTGTTCATCTTGTGAAAAAAAAAACATGTGAATACATGTATTTTTCTTTTGTTCACATAGTGAAACGAAAAATTCACGTAAAAAAGTTTTATATTGTTAAACAAATAAATGTAAAAAATATCACATTATGAAACAAATATATGTGAAACAGTACATTTATATCCTATCTATTAGTGGAAAAGAAATGATGTAAAAATTAATTTCAGATCTATTCTCAAGAATTTAGAACATTTTTATGATTCTTATTTGATGTTTGTATATAATATATATATATATATATATATATATAGGCTAATCTCGTTGATTCTACAAATACCCAAAGAAAAAAACATCTTTTAAAACTTATTGATTTCAAAAATACCAAGTTATAGGCTTAAAATCGAAAAACTCGGGAATTTGGATGGAAAGGGAAAGTGTTCAACTATCGACCATCCACGTACTTGTGTGTAAATAAATAAGAAGAATTCAAAAGTAACGGGATTGAAAAGCCCAAACCAAAAAAAAACCCCGAATAAAATGACAAAAAAATGTTTAAAAATAAGTGAAAACGATTTTTTTTGGGCTTGAAAAATTGATAGGCTCATTCAGGACCTACCGAGGGCTTGCTCCTCGTCCAAGCTTCGAATCAACGTATCATAGATATGAAAAGGAAATTCGTAACAAAAGTTATATGCGTTTTAAGACGACAATCCCGTCATAAGCTTCGAAAATCATTATATCCCGATCATCTACACTTAGATCCCCAACTTCTCCTTTAAAACAAATAATTGGTAAATACAAGAAATGTAACGATTAAAATCATATAAAATGTCAAGGATTTTGTAAATGTATAAATATGTCATTAATAATTTAACTTACATAAATATTAACAAGATTAATAGAAAAATAAATTTGGTTTATTAGAATTTAATATAAAAAATATAAATTATTCCGTATATCATCAAAAGAATCATTAAGCTTGGGGCTTATTCATTTTAAAACTCTAAAATTTGTTAGATTTGTGGGAACTTTTATTTGAAGGGTTTTTTTATATGATTTTTTTTCATCTAAGTATGATATTTAATGTACTGATTAATATATATTTGTTTTACAATGGGTTTGTTTCATATGTATTTGATTCATAATGTGAAAATCTTTTACATGTATTTTTGTTGCACAAACACGCCAAAAAGGTTCACATTGCGAACCGAATACATAAGAAACAAACACATTGCGAAACAAAATATGTTAATCATTACTATAAGTTCTAGTTTCCAGAGATCTCACAATTTAGAAAGTTCTCAAAAGAACGTCCCAATCTTTAAAGTTATATATAGAGAGAGATAGGGAGATTCATATGAAAATGATACCTATTTAAGAACGGGATAACACTTTTTTACTATAGTCAATCATATTTGATACTATATTTCATTACATATGATACATGTGTGATACTAAATTAGAGACGCGGATGACCTTTGGCGCGACCTAGGTTGCAGGCCAAGTCGTCCATACATCACTAGACACCCTCACGTGTATTATCACATGTGATAAGAGTGTTCTTGATATGATACTATAAATTCATCACATGTGATACTAAATCAGAGACCATACAACTTTTGGCACAACTTAGGTCGTATGGCACCTTTTTTTTTGTTTTCTTAAATATTTAGTCATTCTCTTATCTTCTTAAATACATGTATTTTGTACATTAACGATATTTTTCTTATTGAGCCAATCATTTTAGATAATTAATGTTATTTACTAAAATAAAACAAAGGGTAAATTAGTAAAGTTGACAGCTTATAAAACCCTAAATGTTAAATTTTTTTGGAATTTGAAACTCCAAATAAATTTGGCCAGTCGTTTCTTCATCCTCCCTTAGTACCCACTTCCAAAAGCTCCACATGCTCCGCCGATCTCAATCATTCTTGCCGCCTGATCTCAACCATTCTTGCAGCCGATCTCAACCGTTCTCGTTGCCCGATCCCAACCATTCTCGCCACCGATCTCAACCATTCTCGCCACCGATCTCAACCATTCTCCGCTGATCTCAACCATCTCCATCTCAACCATGGTGACGTTGAATGGAGAGCCGCACAGATTTGGCTTATGCTATAAACTTTGTCGCATCTCAACCAGTTCGATGGCTTCTTCCAATCGAGAAAACAACGCAAATGAGTTTTCGTTATTCATATCCGTACAGATCTAATTTCTTCACATCCAGATCGGTTTCAGTTTCTGGTTTTTGCACAAATCTCATTTTAGATCAGAAACATAACCATATCTTGTTGGAGCTGTAACGCAGATATTGACGAAGATGTAACGTAGATATTGACGAAGATGTAACCCATATATCATCGAACATGTAAAGTCGGAGATGTAAGGTTTTTGGATGTAACCTAGATATCGTCGGAGATGTAATGTTGGGTGTAAACAGTGGTATCACAATTGTATTCATCAACCAGATCTAGTATCATGATGGTATCATAATGTATATCACAGTGTGTTTTTGCTGTTATACAAAGTGTATCACAATGTTTTTTATTGTTTTACAAAGTGTAACACAATGTATCAGGTAATGTTGTTTTACTAAGTGTATCACACTGTGTTTTTTCATTATTTTATGAAGGATATCACAGTGTGCATCATATGTTTAACGGAATAAGGTTCACCGGGGAGATGAGAGATAAAAATACCTAAAATGCCCTTCAAATAAAATTTTAATTCAAATTACCAAAATTATTAGTTTTCTAATTTAACTATTGATTTGTAGTTGAGATTGAATCTCACAGTTATCACAAACTAATCAGATTCTCTCTTGAATGACCCCCTATATTATATATATATAGGGTTGGGTCCACATGGGATCACCTTGTTTTCGTGAGACCCGTCTGACCACATTTTTATACTTGAAATATCACAGCAAAACACTGTGAAGGTAAAAAAAAATCCGAACCTTCACAGCAAAACATTGAAGTTTCAAGTTATCACAAAAATAGGATGTTCTCACATGATCCCAAGTCTCTCTCTCTACATATACATGTATATTTATAATTTATGGTTTCATTCTCAATTAGTAACAAATAATAAAGGATTAATTAGGTTCAAATGTTGGGGGATAAAATTCACCTCTCCCTAATTTTCATTTCACTCATGTCCACCAATCATATGAATGAATACACACATAATCAAAAAGAGAAAATGAACATAAATTGAATAAATTTAAAATCAAATAAAAATCTGATGTATTTTAATTTCATTGGTGGGACATGAACGAGACAGATGATTTTTATCCAGATGGAGGTTCTTGTAGTTTGTATACAACATTTTTTGGCATTTTGCAAAAATTGAACTCAAAATGGAATACAACAGTATTCTACCATTGTTTTTTATGGTTTTTTTTTTCAAAAAGTATACCTGTATTCAGCTTCATAAACTAAAACTGCAATTGACCAACCTAGCAAGTCACAAACTGATCCAAAGAGAGGTTTAGCCACCACCAGACTTGAGTGTATTGCTTAACCTGTCATCAAAATTACACACACTTTTAGTTACTTATTATAACATGAATATCATATTTCTCTGTATATCGTCCCAGATATTAAGAACGATGGGAGAAATCCACGAAGGCTCGATCCATTTTTGTAAAAAGCTACGGAATAAAAACGACATATTCGACGACTCATTGACAGAAGGAAATGCAGAAGATGCTTCAGAAGTTCTAAAGATGACGTGAAAATATATAACTCGAGTAACTAGAAAGGGTAAACCATCATTAAGACAAATATAATCTGAGTTTAGCTTACCAGTCCAGGCCTTCAAAGAGACCCTCGCCTTTTATCGCAGAAGTTTTAAATATAGACCATTGACGATTTTTTATTTTGTGCAACTCTAAGGACTCTGTCACAGCAGCAGCATCAAGTGCACCAGGAAGATCCTGTACCCAATATATATATATAGAACACAAGTAAAACATTTGTTTGGAGGTTGAAGCTGAGATAAACCTTTGCTTCCATGGTCTCATGAAAATTGCAGCTTTTGACTACTTTGTCAAATATCTCAATTACCCTTTGTAACAAACGAATGTGAACCCAAATCAATGGCGTGAGTTTATTTGCAATTGTGACAACGTATAAATAGGTAATATTAACATAAAAACTTTAAGAAAAAATAAAAAAAATAAGGACGTCCCAAAAAGAAGAAAATGTGCAAGTTTCAAGGGATGGAGGAATTATAACTCTAGTTTGCATACATAACATAACAACTTAAAAGTTAAAGTGTCAACCTGCTTGTTTGCGAAGATGAGGATAACAGCACCTTTCAACTCTTCCTCCTACCAAAGGACACCAAAAAAGCGAATTTATTGTTAAAATACCAATTTATACTACCCTTATACTTTAAGAAACATTAGCAAATTTTGTTAATAGAAACATGAGTACCTCTAAAATTGCATGAAACTCTTCTTTAGCAGTTACCAGCCTCTCAGTGTCACTAGAATCAACCACATATATCATGGCTTGAGTATTTGGAAAATAGCATCTCCAGTATGGCCTAAGGACACCATCAAACATTTCAAAGCGCATCAGCATTAAACGACTTATCAGCGTAAAAAGTATTCTGCAACCCAATGTGCAAAACAAAGTATTTTTTTTAAAAGACGACACATATATTAAAAACAAAACCACCAAAAACAGGTGGTGTTCATTTCACAGAAAGCAGCACTGCTCAATTTGCAACAAAGGCAGCTGCCCATGCCCATTTTCACTACAGGACAACCTAATGATATGCGTGTGAAAGTGGCTATTCAAGTAAACCTGCACATACAAACTGAACAAGTTGAGAAACCATTGTTCAGAACAACGGAGAACGCTGGATGTAATGATTTTTTTTTTATACACTCTTTACAAACTTACCTGTATATATTAATTAATCATTAGTCAATTGCAAACTTGTATGAGATTTCACTGATGAAAGTATATATTGATTAATCATTAGTCAATTGCAAACTTGTATGAGATTTCACTGACAAAAACTTAGACGGGAACTATTGACACAAGGCGCATAATCTGTTCATATAGATATTAAAAATTACATTTTTTCTATGTGGTAAACAGACTCTCATTGAGAATGACAGAACAATTAGTTAAGACTTAAGCATCAGCATTTCATTTCAAAATTGCAAATGACTAATCAGATAGACATCAAGAGTTTGTCAGCATACTTCTCCAAAAGTCTGTCTTCTAGGCATAATACTTCAGGTTCTTCTTCAATTAAGACCAGAAGAAAGTATACAAGCACATGTTTTGTTCATTCCCATGCCAATTGGCAAACAGCACAGTGGGAGTATAATATTTTTCTACTTATAGTAAGCCACATCACAAACATAATCTGAAGTGAAACACTAGAAGCAATAGCTACCCAGATATATAGCGCTTAGGCTTTTGTAGGTTAAGCACAAGCATGAGTCCTTGTCTATTGCAACTGAAATCCAACCAAACAATAGAAGGATTTCAACTTTAATGACTCATGCATGTTAGATATGTAATTCAGAATGTGTCCCAGAATAAACTCAAGAAAGCATGAAGAACAGCAAACAAAAACCAAAACAATAATTGTTAGAATGATCCTGTTGGTCAGGCAAGAGAAAGGGAGCCAATTAAGCTAGTGCGAAACTAAAAATTAATTTGAAAAAAGGAACAATGTCAAATTTATTAATAGAAAGCAATTCAGCCCTCTAATTCAAGTGGTAGTAGTTCATTGTCATAGCAAATGGAAAACGAAGTGAGAAAGATCAACGAAGTACTACCTGATGCTGGTTTGCCCACCTGTATCACAAAGAACATTGGCATTAGCGAACGAATATTAGCAATTAGCAATGATCAATTTCTAATTTTATGTTTCACTTTCTAGAATTTCCCATATTGATTTATTTGAATATCATGTTCAATAGAAACAAAAAGAACTAAGCACATAAAAAACAGGTCAAAATTGTATCTTTTGGTCAATCCTGACTAGATGGACAGCTGTCTTAGACAGCCATTTCAAGGCCGCATGAATAACATTTTCGTGCAAATTTAGTACCATTAGAAAGGTCTCAGAACAAGGAATCCAAGAAGTATAATTTTGGCCTAAATTCATAAGTGTGTCAAAGCTTTTTTCATGAACATGGGCCATCATTCAAGTTGCTTGTCTTTGGTTCTGGACCAACTCACTCGACCAGCCAACTAGGACCCATAGGAGATGGATTAATTGTCATTGTGTATTACATGGTCAGCACATAAAGAATAATGTGTTATATTGACGTATTTCATCTCATGTGTTGCTTCTAGGAGAAGAAGCAGGTGTCTACAAAGGTGAATCTCATGCATATTTTGAAAATTACGGTACATGTTATCTTTGTGCAAAATGTGCATTTCACAACATGATGTTTTATGTTCATGATAAGGTGCTAAACTTTTGTTTATATGCATGTTTTATGTTAATGCCAGGCTTAGTTAGAGTAGGCGAAATATATGTTCAAATCACCAGGGTAATGCATCCGACCACTATGCATTTTGGATGTTGATAGAGTCAATGCGCATGCTTATTAATTGGTTTAATTTATGCACATGTTTTTCAAGTTGATATGTTGTGTCGTATTTGTTGTTACTTGTTAAAAGCGATGTACTCACTAGGCTGCTCATGCATTTGTACTGTGTATCCCATATGAACTGTTAGCAGATACAGAACATATATGATTAGCCGATGGGCACAGTTTTATCCAAACTAAGAGTGTATTTTAGAACACAATACGAAATAGCGGATTACCGGTTACAAGGTTCTGATGTGCTATTATTGGAGAAAGCTAGTGTTGATTAGGCTTTATGATATATGACATGTATGATGTATGTAACTTACCAGTTTTTGCATGATGTTTTTTATGTAACTAGGCTTTTTGCCTCAACGGTCGAGGTATTTTGAGCAGGGTGACTTCAACTGAATTTGGGGTGTAACAAACTCACTTATAAAAGATATAATAATCTTGAAGGCTTATGTCCTGTCATTTTATTAGTTTATGGAGGTGACATTGTCTACTATGGTAAGCCTTTTTGAAGATTGCAAACCATGTGACTGACTGTCCCGTAACCCCATCTCAAGCACCAGCAGAATTAAATAGGTGTTCTCCAATGGATAAACATATTCAGATTGACATTGGACTACCTTGAAACATTAACTAGCGTGGCATGCACAGCCTCAAGCCCTCAACCTACTTGCAAAAGCCTCGACACCTTGCACTGCACACTTGCAATCTCTTTTGTGATCTAAACCACTTCTAACACTACAATGATATGTTAAAATCCATTTTCAAGCCTTCCCTTTGAAGAGCTTTAACAACCTTTCAGTAGAGTAACTTTTAGTAATGTAGCACTTTCTCATAGTTAGCTAATAATAGATCATTAGGCTTTCACTTTCTAGTTAGATCATATATAGTTCCCTAAGATGTACTCTGATTGTGGATACATCCTTGTGCATCTCTTCTCAACTAAATACATAGAAAAATTGATTACCTTTTTGTTCACTCACAAAGATCACATATTCTAGGCAATTCTTTAAAATTGTCTCCAATTAGGTTATCCAACCAAAGTATAAATTCCCACCGACTGGTAAAACAGAATGCCAATATATCCCTATGATCTAGAAAACCTTGATCATAGTCCAAGGTAATTGTTGAATACAATCTTTCACAATCTTAAATTGAGTTTTCCGTGTCATGTTGTCAAAAAGGTTTCTAGAACAGGTTTCAGCATGAATACAAATGGCTTCCTAAAAGTCATGGATAGCTTATGCAAGGAGCAAATTGCACTAGGCATGTGGGAGGTATCAAGTCCAGGTTCAAGTTTGAATTTTCGCAACTGATTGCAATTTAGGCACAACTGAACAATCTGCTATCATAATGAAGGGAATGACCATTTCTCCCTGATAGTAAAAAAGTTGATTCTTAAGAGTTCAAATCTCTGAACTCATAAATTCAACACTAGGGCTCCAATATTGTTCCGGTCCACCATGAATATTGCTCTTCCTAAGTAAAATTGGTATTAGAACTTACACGGAAATAAGGGAATCCTCAAAGTCACGGTCCGTCTAAGGATACAAGTGGATATTGATCGAGACTTGAGTTTAGTCTGATATGGTGGCTATGGGTATCATTGTGTATTACATAATTTGTTAGTAATAAAAGTTCAGCCAAAATAGTACCTACTGAGCTCAATAATTGTGTATGAACTGAAAAGATTTACTCAAACTCCAGATAGAAAGCAGATGAAACTTAAAATGAAGAGCATTAAGTAATTAAACATACCCAGATCCCAAACTTGAAACTTTATATTGTTGTATTGCACAGTCTCCACATTAAATCCAATTGCTGCATCAGAAGCAACATCAGTGAATATGCCAGAAAAACTAGGGAACCTACAACTCCTTTATGTAGTTTGAACAATGAAGGATTTTTAACCTAATCTGAAATTGTATGATCCATCATCCAAACTAAACTAAATGTAGACTCGAAACAAACAACAAAGAAAGAGTACCAACTTGGAATAGTGGAGACAACTTCACCCATCTGAAGCCGATCTAAACATATAATAAAGCATCAGCTAACAGTTACAGAAACACATAAAAACCCTAGGAAAATAAGAATAAGAGAGCAAATCAGAAGGAAGCATACAGAGGATAGTGGTTTTGCCAGCATTGTCAAGACCAAGAACAAGGATCCGAGCTTCTTTGTTTCCAAATAACGAAGAAAACAATCTCGTAAACACTATCCCCATCGAGTGTACTGTGTAAAGAAATTCCTCAAACCAAATGCACAGATCAGATCCTAAGATATCTGCACGAATTATCAAAATACGACATAAAATTCAGTTCAATTTACAAAGATTATATGAGAAAAACTCAATGCATGTGAATAATAACACTAAACGCTTAATGTACAGAAAACGAAATCAAGTATGTGCATAAAAATGGTGGGAATTGATGATGCCAAGGGTATCTTAGAACAAGATTTGAGAACTAACAGATGCAAAAAGTTGGAGTTGGAGTAAAAAATTTAAATGGGAATTAGAGAAACGATCTGGACTCTGCTTTTCCCATTTTGATTCTTGAGACTCTTAACTTTCATCTCCCATTTAGCGTTGGCCTTCCAGCCACAATGGTTTGTGGGTTCGGTTTAGTTTGTTTTCCATTACAAAGAAGATTGAAAACATTAACCCAACATTTATAATGAATATGTTTTTGAGTAATTTTTTTTATTAACCTAAATATCCAGCTATGCAAGCCGACTAATCCCAGTACGACCACTTGTTTTGTAGATAGCCTGGGGTCATCGTATTTGAACCTCCGCGACCACAAGGGGATATTTATTTCTTTTTAGATTTGAACATGGGATCTCTTGGTACTTTTGACTTTTGGAATCAAGCTCAAACCAATCAGGCACCACCCTTATGGTTCTTTTTAGATCATCTTCGTCTCCTTCCATATGTTCTTGCTTGTTTCACCATCTGCATCATCTTCATGCACCTTCCATCCACGTACTCCCATTTCTCTCTCACACACAAACACCAAGAACACACACAATGTGAATAGCAGCAGAAATCAACGAAGACGGTGATTGATTGATCAAAAAAATTTGATTTATGTACAAAATTATCAACGATCCACTTCTTAATCCCCTATTTGCAAAAGATGGAGATAATTGTAATCATATAGATGAATTTGGATGGATTCCAAGTCTCTACCTACCTACTATCAATTGGAGATTCAACCAAAAAATTCTGACCCCCATTATGAACGAATGAGCAGATTGTCAGTAAATTGAGAGATGGAGATGAGGTTTATGAAGTTTGTCGGTTGGGGTTCAGGTTTTGCAATTGGGGTTACAGAAGGATGCTCTGATTGATGCCGAAAAATGCCCAGAAAATCATACATTGAGGTTAAGGGAGATGGGGAATGTCCTTGTCATTTTACATGTATAAGCAAAATTTGTCAAACACTAAAAAACAATTTATCCACTTATTATGTTTCGGTAGCGCAATAAACTAATCCAAACACTTTTTAATAAAGTCTAGTTTGACGTCACATAAGTTGATAAAACACTTTTATAAAAAAGCATAAGTTGTTCTAAGTATACAATCCCAATCATCTCCTTAATGCAACCATAGATACCTAAATCGTTGATTTATTTATGGACCAAACTCATTAAAAAAATACAACAAAAAAACCCAACTCATTAAAAAATGCAACCACATAGATGTAGCTCATTGAAAAACGTAACCACGAGAACAAGTTCAATTGGATCTTAAAAAAAAGAGACAAAAAACAATTAACGACATGAACGAAGCACCTTATATATTTACTCAAATTGCTATTTAGAAATCAGTTATCTAGATTATCATCAAAAACTGATTCACGATAATACTGTAAATCTAAGATCGATTACGATTGTAACTACGGCTAAATAGGTAACTTGAAATTCGTAAGTATTACAATTTTCGTTAGTATATATCGTCAAGCATGATTTAAATATTTTTTATGGTAATAAACGGAAAGCAAAAAATATTAAACATTCAGATGTCTAAGAAAGTGATTTTTTTTTCTTCTTCAAGAAAGCCGATCAGAGGAAAAGATTTGAACTCATGTGTCCTGCGTAGAGAAATCATTCCCATCATATGGCCTCAGTAAAACAGTACGCAGGTGCTTGCACTACTGAATCCGGCAAAACTGCTCCAATCTCAAAAGTCATGACGTGCGAAGAAATCCCTACATTGTAAATAATTGCATCATTTGTTAGATCAATTCATTTTCAATCTTTGTTCAACGACTCTACCAAACATTTTAACCAACAATTAACTCAAAAATGACTCAAAATTTGAAATATAGTTACCGTCGTAAAAGTCCCAACGAACCGGTCTCTTTGTGACCACATCTTCATAATACCAAATGAAGTCCACCTTCTCCCACAAATCACACAAGAATCCATCGGTCACTACCCTCCCTAGATAATGTGCCCCGTCAAGAAAATCTGGTCGTGGGATACCGACACCAAAATCCACATTTTGGCAATAGGCATCCTCCCCAAATGTGTAGTAAAACGACGTGCCATTATTCCACTCGATGTCGTAAAGCAGTATACCAAGTTGTTTTTGGAAAATATTAACGTTGCGACCTTTGGGCCAATCATACCAGAGGTCGCTTAGTTGGAGGTGGGTACTGGTCAGGTTCATATACAAAAGGGCATGGAATTGTTCGGGCCATGGTGTGGGTGTCGGTGCAGGTGCGTTTAGCCATGGCTCGTCGTCACCGTTAACGGCTACTTGATTGGGTAGTTTGAGAAGGAAGAAGATGAGTAACAAGGTGGTTGGGAAGCCTAACTTCATATCTTTATGTTTGTGGTTGATGCTTTGTTTGGTCCTAGTAGTAGGTGTATGGATAAAAAGGGTTTCAGGGGATTGAGCACCACCAATATTCTTTTTTTTTTTTTTTTTAAATATATATATATATATATATATATATATATATATATACTTGGNATATATATATATATATATATATATATATATATATATACTTGGGATCACTTGAGACCAACCTGTTTTCTTGAGACCCGTGATACCAACTTTTTACACTTGAAACTTCACAACAAAATATTGTGAAGGTAACCTTCACAGTGTTTTTGCTGTGAAGGTTTGACTTTTTTAAACCTTCACAATGTTTTTGCTGTGAAGTTCAAGTGTAAAAATGTGGTCTCACGAGTTTCACGAAAACAGTCTCAACCCTATATAAAAGTTGTATAAATGGTATTATAAATAAAAACAAAAATTAATGAACTTTTAGTTAAATTTTTTGAAATTTATAAACATAGATAAATATATTAATTTGATTTGATTTGATTATTTGTTACTTCTCTTAGAAATATGGGTTCCAAAAAGAAAAATCATTATGTTAAAATTCATACAAACTGATCTCTTAAACCAACCTCTGGTTATATATACTCACACCCTTCAAAGATTTAACACAGATAGTTGAGTTGTAGTGAGAATAAGAGTTAAGGTGGGAAGCGTAATAAGAGATCTAGACCTTTGGATGTACATTAGGATGAGATGCATCGAGATGAGAATCAGATCAATCCTCCTGTCAAATACGATTCATGGGTGAGTTTGAGATTAAAGGTGACCAATGGTTCAGATCTCTTCGTACACTTCTCATTGCTAACTTTCAATCTCACACGATCATTCGTCTTAACTGATTATAATCTATAACAAGAGAATAAAAAACGAAAAAGAGAAAATACTTACAAGTGCATTTGAACGAGGCCTTGAAACCAAAATAGGCATGTCCTGACCCTCCACCTTTTGTTGCTCCAATTTATATGGAATATGATTTCAGCCAAAAAATTTCAACAAATCATAACTCTTTAATACATTGATAATTTTGTACTTAATAATTGTCACTAACGATATGAGGTCTAATCAAATTACTTGAAGTAAATTACCAGTAAAAATCAATTATGATCGATAAATGTTTTTGACAAGCCGGGTGGGGGAATTGGTGGTTGTGTGGATTTAACGGTTATTTGTAATTAAAAATAAACAAAGACGTGTACTGAACTTTGTCAAGTAACATGTCGTAAACTTGTAATATTGGGTCGACGTAAAAAATAAGAGCGACTAAGTTATGACAAATACGAATCGTTTTTATACACTTGAAAGTTGTAGAACTCTCGCTCCTAGATTTGCCAGCTCAACCCGCTCCTCGGATTTTCCTTTTCGAGAAAGCATTTGTACTTGGAGCTTTTCTCTCTGATTCTGCAAAACCGAAACTGGGTTTTGATGACTCAAACTTGTATCATTCCGATCACAAAAGAATAACAGTATCATATATGCACGTATGTATCATCAACTTATAGGTAAATTGGATGAAAATGCAACATAATTTGGTTTGACTCCTATTATGTGTGTACTCAAGACCTTCATTTTGGTACCTCATATATAACATCTCAAATATTTAGGTACCAGACTTACATATGAAAACCTATGGAAATTCAACATACATTGATCCGATTCATATTTTGTGTACTGTACTTTGGTCTAAATTTTAAGATATCATATTTGAAGTACCAAAATGAAAAGTTTGAAAATAAGGTATTGATAAATCCCTAACTTTAGGTCTTTTTGAAAGACCAAAATACGTTGCAATTTTATATATTGCACATATAGTATAAATAGAAAGAAGAGCATCCACTACTAGAAAACCAGGTATCAGTGACGACTATCAGCGAGGTACATCCTAAGTACTAGAAAACCAGGTACCTCGCAAATCCGTCACTGATACTTCCCTCGCAAATCCGTTGCAGATCCGTCGCTAAGTACATCCCTCGCTGATCCATCGCTGTAAGTGTCCGTCGCAAATCCGTCGCTGATCCGTCGCTGATAGCATTACCTACGACTGTTTGACCGACGAAGTATCAGCGACGGATCAGCGACGGACAACCCTTTCAGCGAAGGATCAGCGAGGGAAATTTCCCTCGCTGATACCCAGCATTTTTGTAGTGATCCCCAATTTTTATAGGGCAATGGAGGGTGCTATAAACATCCAAATTATGAACAAGATGAATAATCTATTATGCAATATATAGTTCAATAAGTTGGAAAATTTGTTATTTCCATTTTGAAGGATGCCCGTGTAAAATATACGAGGAAAACTTTCAATGATTATCTAACCGTCGCCCAATTCCCGATAGTAGGATATCAAGTATGTAGGTAGCAGGAGCCTGAAGAAAATTATCAATCATATGGAGAACCACATCTGCACCACCCGAATTTAACCAATAGCTCTTCACCTAATTTAACGTAAAGAAAATACCATCAGTAACAGTTACAAACTACCATCTCACATAAAAAGGTCTTTTTGCAGAAAGAACTGAATCCACAAGAACCATTTTCGCAATGAGTGTACTTGCATTTACAATATGTAACAAGAAAGCCCACAAGAATTCTGGAACCAGCCAAAATGCAATGGAGTTTGATTTAGTTTCTATATTTTTTCTCAATTAAGGGAATAAACGTTGAATTATTCCTATTTCATACCCATTTTGACCGGTAACCGGTAGATCTTAATTATTGACGATGGAGATGTCAAGTTATATTGTAATTCTTGACTACGTGAAAAAATATCAAACCAAAACCAATTGATGTCAAATAGGCCCAAAAACCGTTTATCAGGTTTAACTGAGTACAAAATAGGAAGAACTGAACGTTGTTACACTAACTGAGGAAAAGATTATCGTAACACGAAATAGGAACTAAAGCAAACTTCATTTCCTTTTGATGTATTTTGGCCTTCGGGGACCAGTACCAAAGAAATGGATGTGAGACAGTAAGAGCAAGTGTTTGATTTCATTCTACCCCAACTAGTTTAGAATAAACAGCTAGTTGTTGTGATATTGATGTTCACATTATTTATCTCAACAAAACACGATTAGAAAAGAAATCAAATTACCGATTTCTCCTCTGTTAGCCTAGAGAATAAGCAATGAGGTAGGGTTTCTTAAAAGTCAAATGGGTTATATGCATATAGGCATGTAGATTGTTGTATGTTTGTGTGTGTGTATAGGGTCAGGTTCAATGGAAAACCGCAAAAAATAAATTGAGGAACACCCTGGTAATCATTCATCTGGAGAGTATACACATGTGTATACAAGTAATTTGTAAGCAATTTATCCATATACGCACTTGCGTATAAGTAATTTGCAAGAAGTTTGTCTGGTATGCTTGTGCATAACATGCACACGTGCATAAAAACCAACAAATTTCACAGGGTCGGTCCTATGGTTTCACAGGGTCGATCCTATGGTTTTGATTGCCCTGGACGGCTCATCCCCACGCCGATGTCACTCTCACCCTTTGCTCTACTTCCATTTTTTGGTTTGATGATTGATTGTTGTGCTTGGATGGTTACTAAGCCATTACAAACTATTTCCGTCTAACTATGATATAGGAACATGATTCTTGATTTTGGGGATATTGTGATTGGCTTGACTAATCTGCAATGATGCCTACGCATTTGGCTTAGAGTAGAGTTGTTCATGGGTGGGACGACCCGTTAGACCCTGCTCATCCGGTCGCTAGAAACACAAGCTTGGACAACCATTATCGAGAAAATGGACGAGCCTGTGTTTATTCGTTAAAATTAACGGGCGGACATGGGCAATGTGAAAATAAATATGGGCAGGCCCGTCCAGCCCGTTTATATTTTATAATTAATATTTTTTACCATTAGTTAAAATTATATTAAGGATATAGAATGAGACTCTTTGGTTATTCTTGAGAACCCAAAAGACTATGAGGTTGTTTGTTTATGGAAGTCTGAATTTTGTTTTTCATTTCTTTCGCCACTTATTAAGATCCATGTGTTACTTTAGTTGCTTAAAATTTTAATTGCAACGATGTTTTTCTTTTACCTTTTGGTTCCATATTTGTTATTTAATTGATAATGATTAAATTTATAGATTTATAAGAGTTACACTTTTTAGGCCTGTTAGCCCATGGGCAAACCGAGCCCGTTTATAAGGTGGGCAATGGCAAGTTGTCAAGCCCGAAAAAATAGCTTGGGTTTATAATATTAGGCTCGTTGGACAGAAAAAAAACAAGTTAGGCCTAGCCCAAGCCCGTAAATGATCACCTCTAGCTTAGAGCCTACAAATCTCTAACACCTACTGCACCATCTAAGGCAACTTGCACAATCAAAGAACTCGAACTAAGAAAAAAGATATATCAATCAATTCAAAAATATCCCAAATACCCGACATCTGCTTTACTGATCTCATAGATGAATTTAAGGCTCTTTTATTATTTTCATAGCTCCTGAGTCAACACATTGGTGCATGAAGCAGAAGAGTGTGAAGAGGATCAAAACCAAATGGAAATTAACATGTGTACCCATAATAATGTGTTTACGGGAGAGAGAGGATCTATTCATAAGGATCTTATCAGAAAATGGTAAATAAATATTTGATCCAAGGGTTCTACCATCAGGGCTGTAAAAGTGTTAGACTTTAACATGCTAGTTTAAAGTCAGTCTCTGTCCATATGTCATGTCCACGAAATTAAACAAACGAGTTTGGTATCCACCCTAGAAGGCTCTACTTGACCTGTTAACATGATTAAACTTCTAGATTCATGTGGAATGCCAACTTTAGCATCTAACAAAAGATTTATCATACAACTACACCCATAGAAACACTTGACTCATTTTGAACCTAGAAAACCCAACTCACCTGAATAAACTCCCAAGATACCAAAGAACCAACCCAAATTGAGCTAGGCACCAAAATTAAACCCCCAGGTTGAGCTTGATCCTGGCTCAACTTGAATTTTTGTAGCCCTAATTATATATAAGGAGTCCATATCAGCTTAGTTATAGC